GTTGATGGCCACAGTTCCGAGCACACGGGATTCGCAAGCTCGCCGAACACGATTCGGCGTACATGTGCACAAAATGACACGGCACGGCATGATGGCAGCGCGCTGTCGCGCCCGCTTCCGCAGCCGCCTCGCGCGAAGGACCACTGGTTGGTCAGCACGGGCGCCGCCCTTGGTGGAGTCGGCGCGATCGCGGGGAGGTGCGGCGGCAGCGGGGGCGTGAGGATGCCCGCCCGCGCCTGCCCCTGCATCGAGCCGAGGAAGTCCTTCGCGGCCTTGCCCCCGACGTCCACGAGGGCTGGTGAGAGCTGACCCAGCCGTGGCTGCATCCGAGCGCGCTTGGCATAACTGTTCAACGACTGCTCCGTCCACCATCGGCCTCGGTAGTTCACCTCCCTCCGCGTCCGACGACCCGAGAGAAGGTCGTCGCGCGCGCCCCCGTGGCGCAGCGAGTACAGCGAGGTATGATTCCCGTCGGGCTGGAGCGGGATCAGGGAGCTCTTGAAGGCCTGGTGCACCTGGTCGGGGGGGAAGCTCCACAGGCTGGCGCCCCCAATGCGCCCCTGGGCCAGCAGGGCGCCCGCGGTCGCGAACGCGACGACGCGCGGCAGTGGCGGGCGAATGAATCTGCGGGGGCACGAGCTTAGCCCAGCCCTGGAGGGCCCGAACGGCCCTAGGCGGCGGCCTGCCCCCCGCAAGCATCCAGGGGAGGCGGTGCTTGAGCGCGGCCATCGCCATGGGGCCCGTCGCGCTGGCGCGGGCGTCGCGGAAGCGGCGGGCGAATAACACCACCTGGCGATGCCCAGCACAGCGCTGCCCCTGACGAGCCTCGCGGCCCACCGGCACCAGCTCAGCAACTTCTGGGCGCAGGCGCGGCGGTTCCTGCCCGTCGTCGCCGAGACCGCGGCGCCCTCCAGCACCGACAGGCTCCCTCGCAGGGGGCTGGTGGGCCCAGGGTGGACCGCCCGCTCCCTCGCCGCCTTGATCGCCTCGCTTGAGGAGCCGGGGCCGACGCGCGACCTGGCACGAGGCGAAGTCCTCGAAACTCGGGCCGACGAAGAAACCCTCCGTCGACGGCCTGTCGGAGACATCCCTCTCAGAGGGCACCCAGCGCACCAGCGCGCGAAAACCGAATGCCAGCGCCGCGCCCGCGATGCGCCCCATGGCGCGCACGAGGCAGGGGCTGCCAGAAAGTCCCTACCCAACGGGGGGGGCTAGAGACAACATGTCCACGATGCAGACGATGCAATGGCGATGGGCCCCCAGGGTCCTGGGCGCGCGGTGGACACTGAGCCCCAGGGCCTCGACCTCGTGCCGCGAGATATCGCGCCCAACGCGGGCGCGCCGACTCGAGCGAATACTTCTCCAGCCCTCGAACCCGTAGACAGATTCAGGGACCTCCAGGAAGCCAGGCCAGCCCGTCGACGATGATGGCGTAGACAGCGGTGGCGTGGCGTGGTGTCGAGTATCAGCGGCATCGCGATGGGGGCCCGCAGCGTCAAAGGCATGGGACATGGCGAACACGCTGGACCCCTGGTGGTACCTCCACTTCTCAGCAACTCGGCCGACCTCCGAAGCCAGCTCAGAGGAGACGTCCTCGATGCACACCCCCTTCCCGAACGGTGAAGCGTCAGGCGCATTGGCCTGCGGATGCCACCGAGACCTGCCAGAGGCACCCCAAAGCGGGATCAGGGCCACCGCGGCCCTCAGCCCCCTGACTACTGACTCCCGCATAGGCCCAGGATGGGGCCCCACGACGCCGATGAACCGATAGACGGCGTTGAAGATGGCCAGAACGTCACGCCTCGAGATCACCCCCCCCCCCACCCACCCCCACACGCAATGCGCAACCAGCGCGCTGAAGGCCCCCGAAAACGCCCGCACGCGTCGAAGAAGCCCCAGAACAGCTTGGCGGGTGCAGGCGAGCCGATCAGGACGCACACGAATAAGCCCAGACAGCCCGTCGATCTGTAAACCTGCGAAGGCTCCCTTGCTGACGGCAGGCAAGAAGTCCAGAGCGGGCAGACTGCGAGCAGTGCGAAGATCGGCGACGGCGCGGGCACGGGGCGCGGCTATCTCTAGGCTCTTCGACACGACGCAGGAATGATCGACATAACTTGCGCACGAGGCTTCTGTCGGGGAGACCTGAGGACGCGGGCAGCCACCATCCAGAATCATCTCGCTATCCTGGAATCCAACGTCGGGGAGAACTCTCGCTAGGGCACTCTGACAAGAGCGAAGAGTCCAGCTCCACCCCATGGGCGCCGCAGCGACCAGGGGCTGAACGAAATCGCTGAGGCCGATGGGGGCTCTTTTGATGGACTTGCGACCGATGCATATATGGGAGATCGAGGGCGGCGAGAATAGCGACTCCATCCCTGCGGGCAAACGTAAGCGATAGAACGCGCACTGGATGTCGCCCTGGGCGAACGCAAAACTGTCGTCGCAGTCGACGCTGGCCCGCCCGCTGGGCGCGGGGAGCCAAGTGGCTGGCGGCGCCGTGAAACTGCAGTTGGCCAACCGAGTGTCGAATGCGAGCCTGGGCATGTGGTTGGACTTCTCCACAAAGAACAAACCGGTTCTAAAAGAGGCCTGTGGGCTGGCGGCCTGCCGCGACATCGCGTCGCGGGCCTCCAGCTGCTTCAGAAACTGGGCGCGCGACTTCGGTCGACGGCGAAGCTCGGGATCCACGCGGGGGCGCAGCGCCCCCAGAGACTCGAAGCTCCGCCGCGACTGACTAGAGATTCAGCATGCTCTGCCTCCAGCCCTGCAGCGCGGTGGAGTCGGCCTCGGCGACGACGTCGGCGGTGGAGACTGCCTTCGTCGACTCGGGCCAGGCCGCAAGAGGCTTGCTGCAGGGGCGCACCCGACCGCTGTCGCCAGCGCAGCCAGGTGTCTGATCGAGCATCTTTACGAGGGATGCTTCGCAGGCGCTGCCCCTCTCCGAGTAGGCGGTGGGCAGCTCAAGCTCGCTGCGCTGGTCCGCGGGGCACCCCGCAGAGGCTGCCTGCACCGCGGGCGTGCGCGCGCTGTCCCTGGGCTCGCGCAGCTCGTCCTTGCCGCGGCGGGGCCAGTTGAGAGCGGTCACCCCCTCGTTGCACCACTCCCTCCAGCCCGCGCCTCTGGCGGCACGCAGGCGAGCAGCTCGTCCAAGGGGCCGACGACGTCGCCCATCCACAGGAAGAAGGGGAATAGGAAAAACGTCGCGCTGGCGATGGTCGCCGCGCCTTGGCGACTCTAGACCAGGCGGAGCCCTGAGGGTCTTTGGGCGTAGCTGACCAGGCTCTCGAGCAGGAACGGCGTGCTCGGGAGGCCCATCCTGGCCAGCGCCCTCGGGGTACGTCATGGGGCCCGCAAAGCTCGCCCCTCGCGAGCCTTGCGTCGTTCCTTCGCCACTGCTGCCTCATTATTCATCTGATCTGCTATCGAATCCATCGGGGCAAGACTGATGCACGAGGAAATGCCCGACCTCCGAGGCGAAGTCGGTCGGGTTGGTCCCCTTGGCCTGCGCCTTCGCCTTTGGCGCTGGCTGCATCTTCCGCGTGCGCTCCTCGAAGACCCGCTCCTCGACCATCTGGAGCTGACGAGCCGGGTACTCGAAGGAGGCGAGCTCGCAGATCACGATCCGGTCGTGGCACAGCGCGGTCTCGATCACACGGCGCATCGTCTCGTGGAGCTTGACGTTCTCGTCGTGCTCGCCGAGCGAGCTGCATCATCGCCAGCCGTCGGGCGTGCCAGGCCATTGATCCGCCGGCCATTCGCCGCATGAAGCCGAGCACCCAGAGCAAGGTCCTGGGCCCCTTCACGGGCCAGTCAGCGCGGTCCATCTCGGTCTGGAGCGTGAGCGCGTCTCCGAAGCTCACGTCGCGCAGGCGGCAGCGCCGCGGGGGGGCCAGGGCCCCGCCGGCGCCTGCGGGGGCAGCCGCGGCCGCCGCGGGCGCAGGGGCTCCGCCCCCGAGCGCGGCGGCCAGCGCGCCAAGGCCACCGCCGACTGGCGGCGCGGCAGCGGCGGGCGGCGCGGCCAGCGCGGCAGGGGGGGGGGCTGGCGCCAGCGGGTCTGGCAAGGCCAGGGCCCCTGCCGCCACGCCCAGGACGTTGGTCGCGCTGAGCTCCAGGTTGAAGGCGAGACGGGAAGGGGCCCATGCCCCTGTGCGACTCCCCTTCGGAGAGCTGCCCAAACATCTGCCGCGCGAGGAAGCTGCCGAAACTGATGGAGGTGGTTCGCGGGAACTCCAGGCAGCCCTTCGCCCTGGCCCACGAGGAGGCACACCGAGCGGAGGTCTCCGCCTGCAACGCCGCTCTCGGGGTAGTCGTCGCCATCTGGCGTCAATATGTAGCCAGGCGGGAGGGTCAATCTTTCGCGGTGGATGGCAGGACCACCGATGTTGTATCGCACAAGGTGGAACTGACCAGGAAAAGAAATCGCCATGATGAGCCTCAGCGGCGGAAGCTACGAGCCTGGTCGGCGTCTGGTTGAAATAGAGCCCGCCAACGAGGACACCGTAAGAGAAGGCTAACAGCACCAGCGCGACCAGGAGCTCCGTCGACCACCCCGCGGGCGAGATCGGCGTGATCTGGCCCTCGCCGCTGGGGCAGTGGCACTCCAAGGCTGGGCAGTGGAGCGCGGGCGAGCACACACAATCTGGGCACGGGGTCGAGCTCCCACGCACTATGATGGCAGTAGTGCCCGCGCTGCTGAGGTCGTGGGCGAGGCGTTCGAGCAGGGCCTGCATATCCTCAAGAACTTGAGCAAAGGTGTTGCGGCCACGGATGGTCCACAAATGCCGACAAGTCGCTATCTGATGATGATGATGATGATGATGATGATGATGATGATGACGAGGAGGAGGAGGAGGAGGAGGAGGAGGAGGAGGAGGAGGAGGAGGAGGAGGAGGAGCGGGAGGAGGAGGACGAGGAGGAGGAGGAGAAGGAGAAGGAGGGGGAGGCAGGGAGGGAGGGAGGAGGAGTGGAAGGGAGGGGGGGGGAGGAGGGAGGGAGGAGTC